AAGGAAGCCTAGTACCACTATCAATGTAGAACAACTAGGTTTGACTCTACCATGACATTAACTAGCTTACCTAAGTCTATGGAATTAGCCTATCTACTACCCTCCAAATATCATGCCCTTTTGATACTTAGTTAGGATCTAAGTTCCCAACTTTGTACTTTACTCAATTGATTACTTTATACACATGTGTCTCAACCTTACACGCAAACGATATCAAATAAGTCTTAGAAGAGATTCAACACAATAATCCTCTTCAAGGGTCAACTTCCCAAAAATATTTTTTCAACAAATTGAGCTCTCAGAGTACCATAACACAATATCCACATAATGAGACATGTAACTTTACAAATTTCTCCCCTAGTTCTAGGTTGATCATCACAACTTAACAACACCATGCCTAAAGTATTCACAACATTTATCATCTAACACCATCATACATACAATATATTCAACACAACTACATAACCACACAACTTTGCAACTCAACTCAACTTTTAACTAGCAACTTACAATATAATCATCATCGTACAACATACCCCCTCTCAACATATGAATTTCATTATCATGCAACATCATTAATACAACTCATCCATCACCATTTAGTCATAAAGTAACTCAAACAAAAGTATTCAACATACAACTCATTCATCATGTAAGCCACCAACTCAATTTGAAAGAAAATATTTTACTAAGTTATCACGTTGAGTGTAGAATCTCACGTTTAACCTTAGGCTTCAAGAGAGTTATATAAGAAAATTTCTAAGGTTCCATGTTAAGCATGGAATCTCATGTTCAGTGTCAACCTCCTAAAGGCCCACCCATTTTGCACTAAGCGTGAAACTCACACTTACCTTTAGCCACAGTAAGCGTGAAATCTTATGCTTAGCCTCAGCCTTCTAAAGGCACATCCCAATTCTCACGTTAAGCGTGAGTTTTCATGTTCAACCTTAAAACTTAGAATTTTTAGCATCAATGAAGAACATCCCCAACAGTCATTAACACCACCCAACCTCCAAATCCTCTTAACTTATGTAATAATCCATGCATATAACCCCAAAATCTTCCAAATCTAACAACATATAACCTAGAAATCAAAGGAAAAGAAACATCCATCAACAACACTCAAGGTAATCATCAATTTCTTAACCTTTCATCGAGAACACCAAAATCCCAATTTCAACATGCAACCCACTTCGAATCAATCCCCACAACAACGAATTTTAGGGATTCTATCAACATTAAGTTTATGATTTATTCAACAGTCTAACATTTCAACTAAACTCAAAATTCCAACTTTCCTTACCTAAAAAAAAGTGAAACCAGGGAAGAACTCTGAGCTACTCCTAGGTGGAAGAAGAGAAAGAGAAAAAAAATGGGCTCCAAGCTCCAACAACACGAGATCCGCACCTACACCGCAGGATTCCCAACTCTAAGTTGCTCTAAATCACCACTAGCTACAAAATATCAACTCTAAAGCTCCCAAAAATCATAGAGAAAAAGTAAATAGAGTCTCCAAGGATTGAAGAAATGCTTGACCTCTAGGAAATCACAACTTCACGACTAACTAAAACCTAAGAGGAGAAAGAAAAAGATTTCAGCACCTACTCATCCTACCTTGAGTCCTTCAACAAAACAAATTAAGTCAAGAAGAGAGGTGGCTTAACAAATACAACATTACAAATTCAAATTATATGAACCTATGTACTTCATGGAATATTTGGAAAGATAAAAAAGAAGTTCATTTGAATAAATTGAAGAATACACATCTTTATTGTCATCATAATTCAAGCACAAATGTTAAGAGATGTACTACACAAAACACTCACCTTAATACACTACAATTATACTACATCAAAATGATTGGTGTTTCCATCACCTATACATCAATTAAAGAACTTGTTTAATTCAACGCGTGAAGATTGAAAATGCATCTTCTTGAGAAACCTGCTGAGTGAAGCATCAAAATAGTTGTTGAACAAAAGGATAAATTATTGATCAAACAAACAACAACCCCAAAATGATCATAATCTCTTTGATATAAGGGGTCTATATCTAAATATAAGATAGAGTATACTAAAGAAATAAGGAGATCCTTGTAAATACCTCAAAAAGGATGACCAAAACAATCCATGATTCAAGGATCCAACACTAACCAAAACTCCAACAATTTCATAATGATCAATTGATCCTCTATAGTGAAGAATATGCTCATTAACACAATATTTTCATCTACAAGATAATGAAAGGAATGATCAAAATACTCCTAGGTGAGTGATAAGTAAATCTTAGAATAATTCATCAAAATAAGACTTCAGAATCACTAGAATAGATGTGAAGATTACGATATTATGCCACTAGAATATGGATAAAGTCTAGTCATGAATAATATATAAATCATAATGAAGCACATCTCAAACTGAGTGTCAGATTGAGATAATCAAAGAGTCCAATCAAACAGAAAGATGTGAATACAAAATAAACTCAAAACATATATAGGTCATTGATAATTCTCAAATATATGTATATTTTTATAGTAATATTAGACAATTATTAAGCATGTCTTATGCTTTTGAATCATGTTTTTACCTAGAATATGCAATAAAATTAGAATAACTTATTTTACATGTATTTTGTTCTTAATAAGATATTTTATTTTTTTTAATGCTTTTAGACACAAGAAGAATATGAGAAAAGAAAGTTGCAAAAAGAGTTGGAAAAGTATAAGATAATGTTATTTTAGGAGTCTCGCTTAAGCAAGCCATCCTAGTTGCTTGAGCGAGGCTTGGCCAAGAACACCTAGAAGTTCCCAAAGAAGACTTGCTTAGGCTAGGTCCTTTGCTCACTAAAGCGAGCCAAGTCAAACGCTCCAAGGATATTTCACATTGAGCTTGCTTAAAGAAATTCACACTCTT